TGCTGCCCCAGTAATCTCTACATTTTAGCCTTAGAGCTGTATGGTGGATTGCAGTTCTGACATTCTGCTTTTGTTACATATTCTCAATATGCGATCCAAGTACATAAAGAATAAGATGGGATGCAAAATATACCTTCCTAACCTAAGAGGAGATTAGGGTTTTTATTATCTTTTAATTTTAAGTAAAAAAATTTTTTTTTAAAAGCACATTTTTATTTAAGGTACAGTTGCCAAAAAAGAAAAACATGACAAGTTTAATTTAAGCCGTCAAATTCTCTGTCTCTCTCATGGACCCTTCTCACCAAGTTTCTCTTCAGCAACCACCTATTCTGACCACACCTCATAGTCACGGTACATCCTCCCTCCAAGGACTATTTATCTTGACCATGCATCATGGTCTCTCACACAGCATTCATCTAGGGATTCCTGGCCCAGCCATCCTTGACAATCTCTCACATGTGGCTTCTCTCCAGTGACCATGTACATTTCTTTGTCAAAAAGACCTTTGAATCTGGTAAATGCATTGCTCCAGTCGTTTGCAGTCCCTTAACCACTTCACTTAAGCCACAATTAATCAGTCAAATAGCCATAGTTCATTCCAAGTTAACTTCCCCTAATGCAACACAGCTCTGTAAAGCAAACAGCACTTACCAGCTGTGTGAATCATGACAGTAACTGGTACCGAGGGCTCAGGAAATACTATGGCAATGTTTACTGTATAGTTCGTGCCCACAGGTAAATCTAGACACGTCTCTGGAGCCTCTTCAGCTGCAGTGAAATTAAACAATCTTTCATGGAAGATTTCCTTCTGATGCCATCTGTGCCCTTGGATGTGAAACTTTGGAAGAAAAAGAAAGTCACATTTTCAGCTCTATGCTCTTTTCTGGCCATTTTATGAAGAAAGGGATGGTTCCTCTAGGCCAGGGGTCGGCAACCCTCAGCATGCATGCCGAGCATGGCACGCGAGGCCATTTTCCTCGGCATGTGTTGGGGCTGGGATGGGGAGGCAGCTGCTGTTTGCAGCCTCCAGGCTGCAGCCAGCCCCAGCTCTGGGTGGCTGCTGATAGCCACGGAGCCCAGGCTGCTCCCAGCAGGTGGCTGGGAGGCTGCAAACAGCTGCTGCCTCCCCGCTCCGGCCCAGGCCCCAACAGTACCAGTGCCGTCACCTGCTGCCTTCCCGGAGCCTGGGGCCAGGGCCAGGGCCAGGGGCAGGAGGGCAGCAGCTGTTTGTAGCTTCCTGGCTGCAGCCGGCCCAGGCTCTGGGTAGCTGCTGATAGCCACGGAGCCCGGGCTGTTCCCAGCAGCCAGCTGGAATGATGGAAGCCCTGTTGCAAGCAGCCCGGGCTCCATGGCTATCAGCAGCTACCCAGAACCTGGGCCAGCTGCAAACAGCTGCTGCCCCCCTCGCCCCCGGCCCCTGGCCCCAGCCCTGGGCAGGCAGCAGGTGTCAGTGATGATCCCCGCTGTGCTGCCCTCCCCGCTGCTTCTGCAGAGCAGTGTTGGAACCTGGCATGGCAGGGCACAGTGGGGGGGGCACAGAAAGCTGCTTGCCACTCCGAGCTCCCCACTGCCCTGGCCACACTTCCTCTGCAGACGGGGGCAGCAGTGAGGGGCACAACCCTGCATTCTGTCCACGCTGCTCCCATGCACACAGGGGAAGTGTGACCCAGCAACATGGAGCTTGCAGCAGCAGGCAGTTTCCCTGTGTTGTCCCTCTGTGCTGAGGCTCTGGGTCATACATGCTGCACTCCAGATGGCCCGTGGGAAGGCAGCAGGGCCAGGAGCTCAGCGTGTGCGACCCAGAGCAGCAGCACACAGGGGGCCCACAAAGGGAAGCTGCCTGGTGCTGCAAGCTCCGCGCTGCCAGGTCACACTTCCCCTGTGTGCATGGGAGCAGCATGGGCAGAATGCAGGGTTGTGCCCCTCGCTGCTGCCCCCGCCTGCAGTGGAACTGTGGCCAGGGCAGCAAGGAGCTTGGAGCACCAGGCAGCTTTCTGCACCCACCACTGCACACTGCTGTGCTGGGTTCCAATGCTGCTCTGCAGAAGCAGCAGCAAGGGCAGCACAGTGGGGAGCATTGCCAGCATCTGCTGCCTCCCCAGAGCCCAGGGCCAGAGCTGGGGCTGGGAGGCAACTGGGGCCAGGGCCAGGGAGGAAGCAGCTATTTGCAGCTGGCCCAGGTTCTGGGTAGCTGCTGAGAGCCATGGAGTCTGGGCTGGGGGGCAGGGGCTTTGGATGGGGGGCAAGGGGCATGAGCAGGGCTGGGAGGCAGGAGCTTTAGGTGAGGGGGAAGGGGCACAAGCAGGGCATCCTGCCATGTACCCCCTGCCCTGGTTTTGTTTTTCTAGCATGCTGGCACTCCGGCACCTTCCAAGGTGGGCATTGTGGGGTTTTTTGGCAATCCGACCAAAAAACATTGCCTACCCCTGCTCTAAGCACATGTGTTCTCAGGAAGTTCAGTGCAATTACCAGAGGTTTTCTCTCCCTTTATCCTCTCCTTCACTTTACTGTCTACTGTGCAATGGTAAGTTCTGTCCTTTACTCCATTCATGAATTTCCAATTACATTTCTTTTATCAGCAGTGGACCCTGACATCATACTTCAGGTAATTTCCCTCTATTCTTGCCAGTTCTGATAAAGGGAATTTTTCTTATTCATAAGATTCTGAGAATTTTTTATGGGTATTTAGGCACATGACTTCCATTCCATTCTAATTAAAAAATCAGTAGGAATTAGACATTAAGACCTTTTAAAAGTCTAGCCATCCATGCTTTGAGGATGCTTATATTTAATGTGCAGTACACATACCACACTACCAAACATCTAGGGCACTGATGTGCTACTGCACTTACAATAACTCCTCATACTGGGATCAATTCCAAGTTATGGAAAGACTTCTTAATTCATTTGCTCCTTCTAATTTCTGCCAAAACAAGTTAAATGCTGCTACAGTGTCTACCTCATTCTCTTGGATCTGGCACTGCCTTGCTGTCTTGGTTTGCCCCTGCTGCCATGTATGCTCAACTCCAAGATGAGGTCCCTCCCCATTCAACACAAGGAAAAAAGCCCTTTGTCTTGGACTCAAGTACAAGCAGGGAGGCAGGTGGCTGCTACATCTCCATCTCCAGCCTTGACCTAAACTTGAGCTTGGAGTCAGAGCCTTAAGATGCAGCCATTGGCACCCTTGCCAAGTGCCTCCTATAGACTCTGCTCCACCACTGCCTCCCCCACAGAACCACCACCTCCATTCTCCTGCTGCCTCCTCCTCAGACCCCCTCCCCCACCACCACTTACCCTGTATTCTGCATCCAGCTCCAGCTGGTTGGGGGGTAGGTGCCAGGGGGGTGCAGGTACTGGGGCACGCAGGCCTTGGGGGAGGACAGGCAGAAGCAGGGGCAAGTGGTGGTGGGAGATAGATGGAAGGGGGCAAGGGGTAGGGGTCAAGCCACTTGATTCCTTTCCCCCTGCCCTTCCCCACCACCTGTCCTCCTATCACCCACCTTCCTGTTGCTGCTTACCTCGCTGCAGTGGTGGGGATGTGAATTTAGGATGATCCTCCAATAATTAGATTCTATACATGGAAAATGATAACAAATTTATCATTTTTCCATGTAAATAATCTAATTATTGAAGAGTTGTCTTAAATTCAAAGTCATCTTGGATTTGTGTAAATAAAGGACTAGTTATTCCTCTTGTCCACTTGAAGAAGGAAGCTCACTTCTGAGAAATGTTCCTACTTAAACTATATGTAACTATTACTGTGCATACTACTACCATTAACAGAATCAGAATTTAACCTTCCAGAAAGCATAAGCAGCATATTGTTTAACTGGGCTTCTTTATCAGGAGTACTGCTGCTGAAAACATTTTGGTAACCAGATAATGATTTGTGATAATGATTTCCATAACTACAATCCCATGATTACTATGTGTCATTTTTTAACTATGCAGTTTAAATGGCAGTAGCATGTTGTGCAGATAAATTTTTACCACTGTTTTTTTTAACTCTGGACCTGCAGTCACTCATGCTTTGCCTGTGGTATTTTTGATCACTTGATTTCCTTGCACCAGTGTACACAAACAAGCCCAAAAGGATTTTTTTAGAAGATCAAAATAATGAAGATTGGGGATTTGATAACAGGAGTTCAACAGGAAGCTATGCAGCATGCAGGGCTCAGATAATCCCAAGAACCAATGTGCCCAGGGACGTTCCTCCAAGAGAGAGAAACAACAAACACTCTGTCTTCCTTACCAGATATACCACCTTCAGACCACCTTCTCTAGGGCTCCTTTCCCACCTGACACAGGTTTGGTTAAATACAGAAACATTGCTGATGGCTGTCTTCACTGAGAGAGAAGGAAAAAGAAAGGCATTCAAGATAAATAAAAAAAATAGATTTAGTATTTTGAAGGGGGGAACTAGGGATCTAGTTGGTGTGGGGGTTGCAACTGGCAGCAGATACTGGTAGACAAGCTGAGAGCTCTTGGTGGCAGAGAGCTCACTGCACATGAACTACAGTATTCAGTCAAAGAGGGGTATGACCACAGTACCACACACTAGGGCTGTGTGAAGCTTCAGGTGCCGACTCGATTTGGAGGATATTCAGCCCAATTCAGTGGCTGAATCTCCGAATCCGAATTGCATCGGGGACCAATTAAAAAGGTCCAAATCAATTCAAAGCTCTCTAAATCATTCAGAAGATTTAGAGAACTTCAGCAATTCGGGAAGTCCCTGCTGGCTGCAACAGGGAGCTGGACCTGGACTCCATGCTGGTAAGTAGGGGGTAGGGCAGGGGAGGCTGGAGGAGGGGGAAGGGGACCATGGGGGGACCCCTGACAGGCCTTATCCCCTGACTGCTCCCCTAGCCTCCCCCAAAAACCCTCTGACACCTGCCCACACTCCCAGCTCCCTCCGCCATGGCTGCCCCCCATGCCCCAGCTCCCAGTTGTCTAAAAAAAGCCCAGATTCACCGGCTGCTGCCA